ACTTTTTTGTGCAGAATTGATTTTTTTTCCCCCCGTTCGGCTGGGTAGTTACGGCTGGCAAACTTTAAAGTGGCCGTCCAGTGGGGCGGAGCCTTGATGCTGCGCTGGTATATGCGGGCCGGATCTGTGGGGCGGAGCCTTGAAGCTGCGCTGGTATATGCGGGCCGGATCTGTGGGGCGGAGCCTTGAAGCTGCGCTGGTATATGCGGGCCGGATCTGTGGGGCTGCCTTAGCCTGGTGGCATCTGGGGGGGCGCCTGCGGCTGCGTCATTTATGCAGCTGTGCTCTGGCTTCTGGTTTCCGTAGAAACCCAGGCTTCCCAGGCACCGCGCTCGGCCCACTTTATCCACGGGGATCTTTGATGGTATGTAATTGTCTTTCCTCTGCCCACTCTGGCGCACCCTTTTAAAAGGCCACAAAATGCTGCCAGATGCGGGGGGGACTTGAACGGGGGCGGGGGGGTTGATCATGATGTGTGACTGTCATGGCTCCTTCCAGCCAGCGTGTCGTCAGGTAGTGAATCCCCACCCTGTCCCCATCTCACTGGCCAGGTTACTGTATCCATGCCATTTTTCAGTCCTCTGGCTAATTACTGCGCCGTTATCTTGCGAGCGGGATTCCAAGCCCCTTCGTTGGTGGGGGGGGGGGGGGGGACTACATCTCCTCAGTCTGGAGCATGTTCCTGTCGGCTCCCGGCTCCCGGCTCCCGGCACCGCCCGGGTCACACAGGAGCGTGCCGGCCATCCTTGGCAATTGCCTGCTGTTGCATCATCACCTGAATAGCGAGATTCACTCCCTGTGGGAAAGAACAATGAGCGACAGGGAGATTAAAATGTCGGGGGTGGTGGGGTGGGGGGGATTAGAGTAGATCCCAGAAACCCCTCCCCCCCCTTCCCCCCGCCCCATGGCCTTCATATCACACCTGGTGATAGAGCCTAATTACGTCATGAAAATCCGCAGCTGTCTGGAAGGGGGCACTGTGGGACATAAAGCTCCCCCCCCCCACCAATGAATCAGTGAAACTCACCTCAGGCCGGGTCGGGGCAGCACCATCAGGCGGATTTCGCTTTCAGAATTTATAATTGGGGAATGCTGGGGAGTGCATGTGTGAGTGAGAGAGAGAGAGAGTAAAGGACAGAGAGCAGCAAGGGCATCCAAGGCCTCCCCATGTCCCGTGCTCATCCTCTACCCCCCCCCACCCCATGAAGCATGGCTTTGAGAGTGTGCTGTCTCAGGCTCCCCGTGAGGGCACATGGGCAGGTGTGGGGTGGATACATTTTGGCCCCCCAGTCTTAAAAAGTGGAGCCACATCCTGCTACCTGAGGAGGCGCCAAGCTTCACATTTGTTGTGTGGCGCTTTAGGGGCAGTTCAGCAGGAGGGAGCCGCACTCTGCAGCTCTCTGAGGAACTTCTGATGGTGATGTCACCATAGTGTGTCAAGATCATCCCCCATGACCCCAGTGGTGAGGAGAGCCTGAAAGGGTTGACGCTCTAATGATAATGATGACTAATGATGCAGCATGATTGGACGTCATGTCGCTTCCTCGAGGTCCATGCCAGGCGTCCATGCCAAGCGACAGTCCTGAGGACGTTACAGTACTGGGAGAAACTCTTTAAAGCATGGGGGGGGGGCTGCTTTCTGCCAGTCACATTAATGGTTAAGGTCCCCCCCAATGGCTCTGTTCCCCACTGGTCATTATGAGGAGAGTAATTAGAAACTGTAGCCTGATTGGCTGAGCCTGAAATGCCCCACCCCTTGGGACCGGGCGTCTTGTCGGTAGATGCCGACACGTAGCCTGATGTGGATTTTTAACCATGGTGATCCTGCAATGACCTGTTCCCCCAAAGCACTATGTGCCTGTGTCAGAAGTCGAGATGTATCGTGTTCGGTTTTGCCAAATAAATTCTGAAAATAAAGTCCGACATTGTAGCTTTAAAGTCATATTTGCCACATGACGACAGCAGGGCATGGTCAGGTGGTTGGGTATGCGGTGTCCATGGAGTGCTGTTCAATTCACACTGGGGGAAAAGTGTCTGACTTTCACACACCATCCCTTTAATCGCACAGATCTACCCCATGAAGTGGCAAGTGGGTATTTAATTCCTCAGCTGGTGTAGGCTGCTGTCCGGCTTCTATCCCTCAGTGAAGACAAGTGTCACCGATTCGAGGCAGAGGCTGGGAGAATTCCGGTGCCTCACGCGGGAATCACACCCTTGTATGTCTTTTTCCATGTAGGATTTGCCTGCAAGCGTGTCATGGATGCGGTGACAGATGTGGATTTGAATGGGGGGAGAGCAGCGGCTGTCCAGGGGAGCAGCTCTTTAAACAGTTTTCTGATGTTGAAGGAGCTTGTATTGACCTCGATCGACGCTCCCTGATGGTCCTTCGGATGGCATGGTCCCGTCCAGTCGGGCTCATGGCCAGCACTCTCGAGTCCCTGTCCTGCTTTGCGTGGCGCGGACTGCTTCGTTTTTTTTTTATTAATTTATTCCAAGCAGCACTGATGAGGTCAGACGCTCCGTATCTCCGTAGCAGCCTCTACAAGCCTGCTTATAGCCTCCATGCTGCCGCTGCCTTTAACAGTTCCCTCTGGCTCTTTTTTTTTGCCCGCACAGTTTATGAGCACGAAACGATTCGCTTTTACCTGAAATGCAATTGCTTTTTTTTTTTATCTCCCTGTTGTCTCCTCCTCCTCCTCCCTGGGATGAAGTTTTATTAAACTCGCGGCTTCTGGGCCTGACGGCCGCCGTTCTCTCCACCGAAACAGTGCCGCTATCTCGGGGCGGCAGACGGGCGCGGGGTGAAAGACAAATCAGACACCTTATTTCCCTCCTGCTGGAGAGATTGACACAGGCCTATTTTACCTCTGAAATCCCTCATCTCTTCTCCCCCATCCCCCACCCCACACACCTCAAAAAAAACCTTTTTTAACTCTGCTGGAAGTCGAACGTGACGATTCGGGGAGCGTTTTGTGTCGCGCGCATCGAAAATCAGGCTCCGTGGGCCCGTGACTTCACACAGATAAGGCATTAAAATCTGATGCAGGGCGGGGCTCGCCTCGCCATAGCGGGTCGGGGAACGTGGATCCACCCCTCCCATCAGGCTGGCTGGCCCGGTCTCGCTGGGGTTTGGGTCCTGGCCTGCCTGTTTCAGTGCTGTCACTTAGGGATGTCATTACATCCATGAATAAAGCTCCCCACCGTCTGATAAGAGCAGATTTGGCAGATATTTCTCTAACCACGGCCTTTCAGAGATGTCCTTCATGCTCGGGTGGAGCCGCTTCTGCTTCTGAAATTGTCTCGCCGTCTTTGGACCCAAGAAGTAAGGTAAAACGAATAAATAAAGTTTAGAAAAAAAAAATCATTGCTGGCTGGTCACATGATCTGTCCTGTCCTCAGGGCTCCAGGAGTTTATAACGATTCATCCTGGTCAGGGCATGGAAACAACTACTGTTCATCGCCTGAAAGTCCTGGAAGGCTTTGTTGTTACGTATGACAAGGTTTATGAGCTAAATTGTAATTTATTAATAGAATTGCCATTGGCAAAACTATAAGGTGGCCTAAAGGATAACAACAGAACAAAAATAAAAAATTTGTAGGATAACTTGGAGTGTCCAGGGTAAAATTGAGTGATGTTGGCTGAAGGCTGTTTTTCTAGTTTACTGTTATAGTATCGATTCCCACCACCCTGCACCATCCTCTCCACTGATGTAGGACTAGAGCTCAATAGCACAGTGTCACCCTGCCCCCTGGCAAGGGCACTGCAGCCAGTCCGGTCCAGCCCAGCTCCTTAAATTGCTCTTGCGGTTCTGTCCCATTTGCCTCCTTCGCACTCTCCCCCAGACCCCCGCTTCCAGCTCAGGCAGCTCCACGGTGCCGTCAGGTTACCGGTGGTCTCCCTCCCCTCATCTGCATGGTTATTGTCCCTAAGGCCCCCTGCCCCCTACTGTAGTGACAGTTTGCGGCCTACAGGGGACAGTTGCATGGTTTGAATGGCAGTGAATGCCGTCACTGCCCGTCTGACACTGCAGGCATCGTGCCAGGAAGCCAGTGACCACGTTTAAGAAGGTGCCGTTATTTTCTGGACGTCTTGCTACCTGGCCGGAGGGCTGCTGAATTTGTCCTGTGCTAATTGAGTCGGTAATTATGTGTGACGCCCCTCTTAGAGCTGGGGAAGGAGACAAGGGGGCCGTCGAGGCAGCGTGCTGCTGGATGGTTGGGGTTGGCTAGGGGGTTTCAGCATTCGCCCCCACTGGCATTATGGCGTACAGACGGCATTAACTCATTACACGGAGGGTTCCGGAAACTGCTTTTACCTGGGGAGATTTCAATTAGTGGCCAAAAAGTTTTATTTCTAGAAGGCTTTTCTTTTATATCTTCTGCGGTACTTACAATTTCATTTCTGTAAAAAGAAATCAATTACATCGTATTCGCACAATACCTACAAAAAAAAACTGCTAATGTTGGAGAAATGGGATCAGAGTATTGAGTTTGAAATACAGAGATTGTGATTTTGCAGGTTTTTGGGATTCCCCTCTAGTCGCTTTCTTTTCGATGACAGTTTGACTCGGGCCCTGCCTGCCATTCCGCATTAGATGGTGAGCATGTCCACGTGATGCTCGTTGCGGCGATATTCAGCCCTCAGTCACGTAGCTAATCAGACTACGTGGCCTATGATCGTGACCGTTCGCCAGAAAGTCCTTCGAATGGCGATGACCAGATCCTATAAACGCTGTCACCTTGCTGTGACAGTGCTTTGTTTTGACCACGCAGGAAATGCGGCCCCGATGTCATTGTCACCGTCTAAAAGCTCGTCTGTGTCAGTAGCGGTGTTTTCCCTGCTGGTCGCCATGGAGAGATGGATATGGTTGTCAGTAGACAGCTATTACGGCCTGTCAGCACATCTCTCCTGCACTGAGATTATTTTATTCTTACTTTAATCTTAAAGTAAAAAGTATTTTCTCACTTTCTCACCCCCCCCCCCCCCTTTCTTCTTTCAGGTCGAGCCATAGCCCGTCAGCCTCGGAGCCAGCAGAAGTGCCTCACCATGGATATGGATGAAGAGGAGAACATGAGTGAGTCCATCTCACCAGCACGGTCCTTTTCTGACCCCTAGCTGACCGGGCCTGCTCTCCAAACTGGACCTCTCTCCCCCCCCACCCCCTTGAAGAAGGGGAAACTGCTCTGTCACCTCAGTCTAGGGAATCAGTACTCGCTTACGGGTGCATGGGCTTTTTGTGAAAAATGGGTCCACGGAGTGCCGAGGTCCGTTTGCGGACTGGGCTACGTGTCATTCAGGTCCCTCGGGGTTTCCTGTGCTCTGAGATTCAGTGCAGTGCTTTGAGCCAGTGCCACAGTCACTGGGCTGGGCTGCCTTGGAGGAACGTTAAGTCCGAGTCCCGCTTGATATGCAGCGGTTTGCTTAGATTAGATGCCTTTTCCTGCCTTTTCCTGTGCTCAGGCCATCAAATGAGGTGTCTCTCCCCCCCCCATGTCTATGCGGGCGATAAATAGGCTGCTCCTGTATTTATGTAAGATGTATGAACAGCCACCCTCAGGCTATAAACCCGTGCTGGGGGCCTTGGTCTGCTGCTGCCCCATGCCCCATATTTGAAGGATATGCATTTCCAAAGGCAGCCGGCACACATGGAATTATTAAAGGGTAAAAAAACAAAAAAGTGAGCCGTGTCCGATCCGTCACGCTGCTATTCCATCCCGTGCTTCTAATTATTATATGGCTCTTCGGTTTCTTTATGTCCTCGTTAACGATGCCTTCAGAGCGAATCGATAATGAGTCGGGATGGCGTGGCACTGCCGGGTGGCGTGGCAGCAGAGGGCTTTGACAGAAGCCGCACTTCAGACCTGCCGCTCCCAGAGCCGCCGGAATGTCGCTTCCCGTTGGTTCGAAACAGATGCACAGAGAACTGGTAACACACTCCCGGGTGGAGACAGCCTCTCGGGCGATGTGTGGGACGGCTTTAGTCTCCAGGACCCTGGTCTTGTAGATGGCAGCTTTGTGCTGGCGTTCCCCCAATGGGAGGGGTGAGCTTCAGTAACTGTGCAGAGGGCCTGAAATGAGAAATACGTCTTTATCATCCCCACCTTCTTCACTGCTCGTGACTAATTGAAAGCTGCAGAAAAAGTATTCATTTTAGTGTGCAGACATCTCTCCCCCTCCTATACCCATGTGACAAGTTTCTAGAGAATGTTTAAATAGCTGTAGAGTTTCTCACTGAAAGCCTTTGATTAAACCTAGAGGAACGTTACAAGAACGTACAGCCAATTAGGTGAGATGTACATCCACAGCATGAAGACCCATTCCATGAAAAGCTTACGGAGGAAAGGCCAATCAAGGACGTGAAAGAAACTTTCTGAAAGGTTGCTTTCAGCAGTGAAACTCTTACATAAGGATTTTGAGAAAGTTTTTCAGAAGTTTTAGACGAGCGGCAGCTGGAACCTGAAGCGGTTTGATGGTAGCCCTCCATTGTGGTTCCAGAGTGTGTGGCTTTGTTCACTGGGCTGTGACACGCTATTAAATCTATTGTCAGTGCCCCCCTTCTTTGAGCAGCGCTCCTAGGAGGGCCCCCCCCCCGGACCTCCGCGGTGGCCGAGCTGTCAGATCACGTTGCCGTCTGGGACACGGCCGTGAGACTGGCATTCCTGTTTTCCTTGTGTCCGAGGTGCTGGCCTGGGATGTCATGATCACAGCAGACGTGACCAAGCCGTCTCGCCCAGGTTTACAGGAGAAGAAACTTTCTTCAGTTTTTGTATGAAGTGTCGAAACCAGGAGATACTGTAGCCCGCCCCCCCCAGCCCAAACTTGATAGGGACACCCTTCAGAGCATACATAACACAACAACCCTGGGGGCGTGGGTGCCAACCTACAAACGGTCAGGGCTGGGACAAGCTTCTTCCCACATAAAAACAGGGTCGTCATCCGCTGCAGCACAAAGGCAGGTAAGGATGCAGAGCAGGTAAAGATGCAGAGCAGGTAAGGATGCAGAGCAGGTAAGGATTCACACAGCAGACATACAAGGACAGCACAGCAGGGGAGCCTAACATCCACAGCATTAAAAATAATAGCCAGTTTTCTTATGTGCGGCGTAACATGTCAGCTTGAAGTTGGGCTGTCACTCCAGGCTCTAAGAGGAATGTTGTTAAATATTTCTTCCTGTGAAATGTTGGGTATAACTATGAATGCCTGTAATGGTCTGGTTCTTAGCAGTAAGTGGGATTTTTATGGTTGTAACATGTGACTGGCGGAGGCTTGAGGATGTAAGGACACTAGGTAGTTGGAAGTGGATGCAGTAGAATAACGCCCCCCCCAAGCCACAGTCTCCTTTTCCTTTGAGCACAGTGACACTTTCAATGAATTTGGCGTAGTCTGAAAAGTGAATGCCTCGCTAAATATTTGAACTGAAACGTGTATATTTGTGTTGTGACCTAAGGAATGTAATTATAACGGGCACAGTAAGGAGGCGCTGTTGCAGTCTGAATAGTACCATTCCTAACCCCTTTAAGCTGTGGTTCCTTCCAGACCTGGACTCCACGGGGTTCTGCTTGGTGTAGGGCTGTACCTAAATGTGTGTCTTGCCTATTAGGTGCTGGTTCTGGCCAGATTGTTTTGTGCTTAGAACCCACATTTCTTATAGTCTTTCGCAGCCTCCCCAGGATGGCCTGCTCTCCTGGAGGCTGCCCCGTCATTCGCTATCCTGAACTCCATCCCTCAAATACCAGCACAGTCATTGTCTCTCTCACACACATACACGCACGCGCACATATTTGTATTCATATCTTTGTGGGGACTCTCCATTCATTTATATGGGAAAAACCCAAACCTCAGCAGTGGCGACCTTAACCCCTACCCAACCCTTAACCTTAACCATAAGTAGCCAAACAAAATACAAGGCTTAGTTTTTTTATTGCAGTCACAGATTTTTAGCAAATTGAGTTTACCATTGTAGGCACTGAAAAATAGTCCCCACAATTTTTTATCACATTGTGGCGACCAAGTGTCCCCACATAATACAGTATATACATAAGCCATACACACACACAGGGCTCATTCGTGCATGCACACACAAACAGAGATATACAGTGACACACACAGAAAACCTCCAAATGCACTCCAAGAATATTTTATGCAAAGTATCCAGGAGCAGAACTACTATTCCACCTGAAGGTCAAGCCACGCAATTTAATAGCTGCCTGGTGATTATGAGTGTCTTTCAAAAGTAATTGGTTCACTGGTTTTGAAGTTTGACTCTAAAAACGTCCTCAGAAGAGTGCCGGCCGCGGCATGCAGATGACGAACACCTGGCCGCTTTGGGGCCCTCGTGTAGCAGGGTTCATGCTAACTAGAGTTTTTCTGCAGGACTAGAACTAGTGAAAGCATGACATAGTATACAGGTTACTAGTGATATAGTTATTTCTGCGTAAGATCCAGTGCAGCTGAATCCAGTGTGTGTTTCTAAGGGGGTTTAAGTTTGTCTTCCAGTTGGCTTTTGTGATATTTGCTCTTTTTCTCAGTTTTTTATCTCTTTTCTCCTGGGGCGCCTCCTCCCATCTGCTCCTCTCTGTGACGCGCCCTCTTCACCTGCCTGCCTCCCTACTCTCCCACGCCAA